CCTAGCAAATGCCAACCAAGGGAAAAATGATATCAGCATTTTTGATACAATAAAGTTAATACCTTATTTTACTACAAAACTGTGCAGAAGGAAATGTAAATGAATGTATTAGTAATTGGTTTATATATATAATCATGATAGCTAACAAAACTGAGTTGAATCATGATGAGATACTGCTGACCAGGAATACATTTCGTTCCTTTCATAATCAAGCATTATTGAAAAAAGGAAATTATTGAAAAAAACAACATACTTAAGAAATATCGATATTTTATGTCAACTGAATATTCAATATGCCAAAGTTACCAAGTAACAGGTTTACGAGACAAATTGTTTTACTGTTTCCACTATTGTTATTAATATCATCATTATAATTTATGTTACTGTCATCATCAATATCAGTGTTGCTATGAGTATGATGATAATAATGATAATGATTATCATAATGATTACATTAGTAATAATATCAGTAACAACAATTATTATGATTATCATTAATATCAACATCATTATCAACATCGCTTTCTTTATCATTTTCTTGAGCAATAATATCAATAACAATAATTATTATCATTATCATTAATATCAACATCATTATCATTATCACTTTATTTAGCATTATCATTATCATCGTTAATACCATGATGATGATGATGATGATGATAATAATATTAACAACAATGATAATAACAATAATAACAGTAATCATATAAATAATAACAATAATAATAATAATAATAATTTGCATTATCATCTTCCTCACCAACATCATTATTACCAATTTATTATTATTATCATCATTATAATTATTAAGATCATGCTCAACATCACCAGCTCATAAGTGATCATACTTCTTACTATACCACGTATGGTCACCAGTCATCACCATTATCATATAAGATCAAGCTTATGATCACCAGTGCCTCAAGGTCACCATACGTAATGCACGCTCTGAGCAGGATCCTCAGTTGTGCATCATCTATATACAAGATAGCATCATACGCTCCCTAGATGAGCATCACATCAACACACCCGCTATCCTCAGCTATCATCATCACCCCACACTCTATCACCTCGTCACCACACGCTCCTAGATCAGCATCGCATCAACACCTATCCTCAGCTGAGTATCACATCAACACCACCCACTATCCTCAGCTGAGCATCACCTCATCACCACACCGCAGCATGTATCCTCAGCTGAGCATCACATCACACCACCCACTTCCTCAGCTGAGCATCACCTCATCACACACGCTCCCTAGATGAGCATCACATCAACACCACCCACTATCCTCAGCTGAACATCACCTCATCACCACTCATGATCCTCAGCTGAGCATCACCTCATCACCCACACTCCCCCAGCTGAGAGCATCACCTCGTCACCACACGCTCCATCAGCATCGCATCAACACCCCCTATCCTCAGCTGAGTATCACATCAACACCACCCACTATCCTCAGCTGAGCATCACCTCCACCACACGCTCCCTAGATGAGCATCACATCACTATCCTCAGCTGGAGCAGCTGAGCATCACATCAACACCACCCACTATCCTCAGCTGAGCATCACCTCATCACCACCACGCTCCCTAGATGAGCATCACATCAACACCACCCACTATCCTCAGCTGAACATCACCTCATCACCCACTCATATCCTCAGCTGAGCATCACCTCATCACCACACGCTCCCTAAATGAGCAGCTGAACATCACCTCATCACCACTCATGATCCTCAGCTGAGCATCACCTCATCACCACACGCTCCCTAAATGAGCATCACATCAACACCACCCACTATCCTCAGCTGACATCACCTCATCACCCACTCATGACAGCTCATCACTCATCACCACACGCTCCCCCAGCTGAGAGCATCGCCTCATCACACACGCTCCAGCATCACATCACACCACCCACTATCCTCAGCTGAGCATCACATCACTTTCCTCAGCTGAGCATCACCTCATCACACACGCTCCCCCAGCTGAGAGCATCGCCTCATCACACACGCTCCTTGAGCATCACATCAACACCACCCACTATCCTCAGCTGAGACCACTTTCCTCAGCTGAGCATCACCTCATCACACACGCTCCCTAGATGAGCATCACATCAACACCACCCACTATCCTCAGCTGAGCATCACATCAACACCACCCACTATCCTCAGCTGAGCATCACCTCATCACCACACGCTCCCTAGATGAGCATCACATCAACACCACCCACTATTCTCAGCTGAACATCACCTCATCACCACTCATGATCCTGAGCTGAGCATCACCTCATCACCACACGCTCCCCAGCTGAGCATCACCTCATCACAAACGCTCCCTAGATGAGCATCATATCAACACCACCCGCTATCCTCAGCTGATCATTACTTCATCATCACTTCATCACCACACGCTCCCAGCTGAGAGAGCATCACCCTCCAGCGACCGAGTTTCCCTTCCTCCGCCTACCCCCCCCCTCCCTTCACCGCCCAACCGTCGACTTCATAAAACGTAAACAAACATCGCCGACCTCAGTGTCGAGGACCGAGGGAGAGAGTGAGGAACTTGCTCGTCTTTGTCCTCTCTCGCGAGCAACACGAAGCGTCTTTTGGTCCACCATGAGGATTTCTGTGACGACTGAGAATGAGATTTACCCCCTGGAGGTGGCTCAGGATTTGGAGCTGGAGAATTTCAAAGCCTTGTGTGAGATGGAGGTGCGGACTTTCTCTCTCTCTCTCTCTCTCTCTTTCGAAATGTTTGATATACTTTTGTTGTTTAGACTTTTTTTTGGTTTTTGGTTCCTATGTTGGAGTGGACTTGTTTTATTGTGTGTAGAGGAAGAGGGTTTTTTTCCCTAATTCTGTGGGTTTTAATCTTTTAATTCTAGGAGGGGTATTTCAAAGGTAGTCTGATAGAATTTGACATTTCTGGATGTGTATACACAGCCTGATGCCTATTATGATTGCTATTTATTACTATTTCCTGTTACCACCCGTACTGGAATCTGTGATTTCTGTCTGCCAGAGATGTAGGTACTCAGTATACCAAGACCAAATTTGATATATGTTAAGCCAGTTTTTCAAATGCTGAATACATGTTTTTTATAACGCACTGTCTATTGTTACGGCAGCCGTAATCAGCTCCAACTGCGCTAGTGTAATGGTAGTGCCTTTTGAGCATGCAAGTGCATGTTTGGATTCTGGCTTCGCATTCCACGAAAATGGTGGGTGATGTGAATAACCAACCTAATCTTACTTAACCAACTTAAACTAACTTAACTCAACCAACCTAACCTAACCAACCTAGTCTAACCTAATCAGCCTTACCTAACCGAACCAACCTAACCAATTATGTTAGGTTGGTTATTTTAGGTCAGATTGGAAATGGGAAAAAGCCTCATCAGACGTAAGTAATTGTCAAAGTTACCAGATTACGTGCATGCGCAGTGGAGTGCCGTAACTCTAGAATATGGATAAGCGAATACAGCTTATCTATATTGTGCCTTTCTATAATATGTCAGTGACGTTAATGTTGGGAAATATATACAGGCGAATAAAATTTTGAAAGAGCCATTCACCCAAAATCCTTGGCTGAAAGGGCCTTGATTCCAGACTGGGTTATCACATGCTTTTCCTACATGCTTTTATGGTTTGAAATTTGTTCCACTGGGAATATTGATAGATGGTGATGAAATAGTGTGAAGATATTCAGAAATATTGAAATCTGGCCATTAATGAAACTTTGAATTACTTTCTGCCTTATGAATTAATCTACAGATCTGAAGTAGTTAATGCATACCACACACTTGTGCATCTACTACAGATCTGTGCTCCACACTCATGTACTTGCTACTGGCCTTTGCACATGGAATATTTCAAAGGCAAAATCCAAGCTTATTCAAAACACACTAAACTGTTAACACTGACAGAAGTTTTACCAAGGCTTATCAAATTTCCAAGTAAATGTGCAAGGGTTATAGAGGCATGCAAAATTTCATGTCCTATTAGGTAATAACTTAAAAATGATATTAAACCATCTGCCACAGAATCATCTTTTTGGCTAGTGGCTGCACAAACAGGATGGTTGGCGTCAATCGGCAGTTCCCCCATTTGTGCCTGGCTCTTTTGGTAATTTGTGGACAACTTTATGCACCTAAAAGGTTATATTTGGTTTTGATTTTAAAAACTTTTAAAAAGTGAAGGTTTATCCTCACTTTATGTCAGTGCCATAAAGTTTAACCATGTGATTGTTACCATTACTAGAGGAAATAAAGAATCTCTGTCTGATAAGCCGATAGGGTGGGACTGGCGAGCTATGGTGCTATGTCAAGAATGGATGCCAATCTTCCCGGTTGAGTAAATAACCATTGCAAATATAGCTAGGTTCATTGTCCAGCATATACATTTTTTTTTTTTTAATCATTTGCAATCAATCACTTAAATGAAAGGACTGATATATTACCTTGAGAGAAGTTGTGGATGCTTGTCAGAGTAAAGCAGGTTAAAGCCTTATGTAGAAGGTCAGTTTGAAGGCAAAAAATGTATTATTGTATTAGTTTAGTGCATTTACAAGCTGTGTTTACCACATTTTATCAGTCAACATTCACTTAGTGTTAGCATTTTATAATTGTCTTTCTTTTTCTTTGCATGTTAACATGAAAATTAGTGTAAGTGATTCTACAACTTTATGTATATACTTAGCAGCAATTGGTTTTGGCTGCTGTGTTTAAAGTTTTATGAAAAAGACCTACAACCTGGCATTTTTGGTACTCTGCCAAAGGCAAGAAACCAACCTAACTACCTATCTCTGGCCAAGGTAGATTTTTTACTCTTCCCTAGTGATATAAGGTTTATATAAAAAAAAGGCCAGATTCAGTCTTTCTATATTATGATTAGAAAAAAAAAGTGCTAAAGTACCCAAAACATGGAGCATTAGGAGGCAGTCATATGATTGATTCAGGGGGATATGAAGTGAGAGGAATGAGCACCAGGGAATGGGGTAATAGATGTGCGTTTGGGGAGGTGTAGCTGGAAAAAATCAGCCAAACTTTACCAGAAGTACTTCCTCATGCTCCCTGCTTTTCGAGACCATGCTCAATCAAGTCTGCTTGACTTGGGTGTAAAGAATAAGAAGTCATTTGATTGATTGTCCTTGGACTCTAGGGATGAATGGCATTTTAGATAATTTTTATAGCATCACAATGAATGGTTACTTCCTCATTAGTCCAAAGAGGGTTTGTCAGCTTAAGGAGACCGTCACTATCTAATATGGGTACCCTTGATATGGGACTTAGATTTTTGTTTTTATTTTTTCCTGGTTGGTATGATTATGAAGATGTTACATCCCGTGTTTGGTTTCATTTGGCCAATAAATATCTGAATTAGAAAATAGAATCATAATTTTTCTTGTTTGGTGCTCCATGCTGTCAGGCTTACTCATATGACATCCTTCATTTATTATCTAGAATTGGTAATAGTGATTTTTTTTTTTTATGCTCCTTTTATTAGTCTCAAAATTTGATAATGAAGTTAAAAAAAAAAATTGAAAATAAAAAGTTTCATTGCTGTTTTCAAAAAATCAAAAATAGATATAAATCTCTTCAGTACCTTGATGAGGAAATTTACGCCGCACAATTGCTGGAGGAAATCGGCAGATTTTCTGAAGTTGTGCTCCAGCACGACTGCATATGCCAGAAACACGACTCGGAAACCTGCCAGCAAACTTCCTTTTGCTGATCTTACTCCAGTTCTTGCTGTGTAGGGACATTTGCATTCTGTGTGGCTCCCTTCAGGCATTGGGACAGAAGGTCAGGTGCGTTGAGTTCCCGGTAGATTTCCTTCACGTAGTCAAGCTTCTCACACGGCATCTTGGTAAGGTAGAGATTCTTGGTGCTGTGGAGTGGAAGGTCTTCTTTCTGAGTGATATTCATTTGTGCACATGGGGTATCAAAAAGGGCTGCTGTCTTTAGTTATTATAATTTCCCTCTAAAGCTTTGCCACAATGTAGGGTAGTATTGCCAAATCTCTCTCAATTTTGTTGAAAATTCAGGGTGACGATCTCCTTAATGTCGAGATGAAATTTGAAAATATGGAGTACTTTTCAATATTTTTATCATTGGATGTATGCTTTTAAGAGTAGTACTAGTATTTGTTGTTTTTGATACTTTCATCATTATTATTCCTTTTAGTAGTATTAACGTTGATATTATCATCAGCATCATCATTAACCATTATGGGTATTCTGAAAGCATATACCTGAGATGAATAATATTTAATGTAGTACAATAAAGAGTAATTATCCAACAACCTTGTGATGCATGGATCAGATGGTTGTGATGAGCAATTTCAAAATGCATTTACGTGATGTAGTTGATGTAGACTATGTTTAATACTGAGTGGTACTGTTTTGTGTGTTCTTTATATATGGTGGGTTTTCCTCTTGGGGCATTCCCATTTTAGAAAATTACTCATTAACGAATAATATCTCATTAATTATGATGTTGATGGGAAATGGAAAGGGTTTTAATATCAATTGCTATACTAAGAGGAAATAATTGAAAATACAGCTACCAGGATCTGTACTAGCATGAATTATTCATGTAAGAGGGACAGTCAGGCCTCACTGACATCTCAATTGTAAAAGCACCAGTACTGGAGAGAAGACTTCAGTATCTTCTCTCGTGCTTTTCTTAAAAGATTTAAAGACAAGTACAATTAAAACAGTCTTATATTGCAGGTAGGAATTCCAGCTGGAGAAATGATGGTTGTTTTCAATGCACAACCACTCACCGATGATAAGAAGACTCTCAAAGACTATGGTGTAAAAGATGGAGAACTCATTATGGTGATTCGTGGCACTACACTGCTGAGGCGGGCGGCAGAGCATATGCAGCAGCAGCGACAACCACAAGGAGGGCAGAGGCAGCAAAACCAAGGGCCTGTTCCAATGGGTATGTGCATTTAACTGTTTTAGTCATTAATATATCTGTATTGGCAGATTAAAGGATTTTTTCTACTTTGTATTTCTTTTAAGTTTGCAGAGTCTTTTTTTATATCAGAGTTGATGTCTGACCAGGAGACTATGATAAGGAGTTCTATTATTATCGATACAGTGCTTGTGGGGTTATCTACATCACCTGAAAGAATAGTTTGTCTGTATGATGAGCACATTATGTTGACTAGGAATGGATATGTTGAACACAGATGAACGCATACATGTATGTTTATATATAAGGATACAAGTCTGTGTATAAATCATGGGTTTCTAACCTTTTTTTATTTATTTATTTTTTTCCTTCTTTTTACACCCTTAGGGCATTCTGGCAAGTTCCCATGTATGTAAAAATATAATATGAGAGTTTGATCAAATTATGTTTGTTTGATTAGATTTCACTAGGAAATTGTAGGTATTCAACCTGTATGAGATTTCATTCCAGTTTGACTATTAGGGAATTTTTGAAAATATTCTGATGTATAAAAGAAATTAACAAAGATAAAGAATGCAGATATGTGTAACAACAGTCAGGTCATGTTGGGTATTAGACATGGGATCATAATTTGTGATTTTTGACGTGGATCTCTGAATAATAATAATGTTTCCTTTCCCTTACCCTTCATGTGTGTGTACATGCCTGTTTTCTAGGTATGTTGGTGGTTGTGGCAGAATATTAGGCAGAGGCATGGGGATACTGCTTCCTCACTTTCTGGATTTGCAGTCATGTTTTGGTCGTGTTTATCACCTTGTTGTTCACCTGTCTGATTCCCAGTTGTGCTTTGCATGTATTTGTCTCCTTACGTTGCTGGCCTACTCAGAAACTGATTGGATAATGATTCACACCCAGGATTTGTAGTTTATGTTTGGAAGATGTTTGTTTTCTCCTTACCACACTTGGGAACCATGGATTATCCAAAGGCATTCATACATAATTCCAGATGTGACCTGACCACCGTTTCATGTATAAGCACTCTACATTCATTGTTTATATGGCCAGAAGTAGCATTAATCCATTCATAACAGGAGCTCTCATTCCTATACCAAACCACATACTGGAGTGCTCGTTGAGTCAGCTTCTCCAGGGAATAACTTGGAAGCATGGAAAATATTAAGTTACTTTGCTCTCAATACTTTTGGCTGCGACATAAATGAATTGGTAATAATGCTAAAAAAAGAGGTTTCAGCTTACTTTTGAGGGGCTATTTCTCCTCTGTGACAGCAGCTCAGGTCAAACAAGCACACTACTGTTTCGTGTTTGCAACATCGAGGCTGGATCATGCATAACACGACAATGTAATACTTACGTGAAGGGTCTCTGCCGTGATGTCATCTTAATGCGAATAAATTTGCTGCCATGAGCCATACTTTTTCTTCAGCTAAATAGTAAAAAATCAATGACAATCAGAATTTTTATTTTTTTTATTTGTTTGTCTTTGGTCAGCTGTAATATTGTATGAGACAGTAACCAACATACCTGAAATCAAGGAGAAAAAGAAAAAAGAAAGAAAACAAAATAATAATTATCTTTCAATTCAGCAATTTATTTCTATAAAAGGTTAAGAACATTTTAAGAAATTCCTGCATTAGAAACTGAAAACATACAAATAGTAAGCATTTTTTCCTGGAGTGCCATTATTAGAGATTTTAGGGTATTTTTATGTTGTTAATATTATTATTATTATTGTTATTATCATTAGTATGTGTATGTGTGTGTCTGACTGACTGTCTGTCTGTCTGTCTGTCTGTCTGTGTATCTGGTTGTGTGTTAATTATATATAAGTATATTATGTAAACAGATGAATGAATTGTATCAAAATTTGGTGTTTGTATAGGTGTTAACACATTTTACTGCTTAGAAAATGTATTCAAAACAAATTATATTATATGTAAAAGATCTATTCTGATATATAACTCTATTGTTATAATCGGTATTATTAGCTTCTATAAAATATGAACAGATAGGAAAAAAAATGAGGAATGCTTACAGGATAAGGAGAAATTTAGATGTATTAAGACAAGATTACTGTCATTAATCTCTGCATGTTTATCCAATTATTTTGTCAAATGCCCGGCTTCATCTGACATCCGATACCCTAAATTTGACCCAACACAGAGATCAGCCAGTTCGACTTCAGCAGAATTGAGCTCCCCAGGTCACGGCAGACTAGCACCTCCTCTGCAACCTATAATGACTCCCAGGGTGGAGGTCAGGGCCAGGGTCAAGAACAGGGCCAAGGTCAAGTAGCAGGTCAGGAAGGTGTGGAGGAGAACCTGGGTGATGATGGGGACTTGGGCCTGGGCGCCGCAGGTGGGAACGCTGTTTCAGTGTGAGGTCATCCGGGGTGGCTCAAAGTTCGCACTGTGGAGCTTTATGACTATATCTCTTGATTATTTTCTTCAGCCTAAGTATGCTTTTGATGGACACGAGATATCCATTAGTAGCGCCTTGCCGTTTTTAAATTTCCCCCTTGTTGATCTCTCCTTTTTAAAAAAGGTAATTATCATCACATTTTACTTGCGAAATAGCAACAGTCCCTGATTAAGATAATGCATCACATATCACGCGACGTGAATTTCCATTAAAGTTTAACTTAATAGGTCAGATTGGTTGAAATTCCATAGTTTTGACTTTTGAGACATCTTAATGTTGCATGTTTTGAACAGCCTGGGAAGTTTAAAGCAGTTTTATTTGAGTTTGCTTATTTAGTAACCCAGATTTATTTGTTTAATACCATAATCACCTCTGTAGCCTCCTATCCATGTGAAGGTCTTTGTGTCCAAGATATTACATTATATATTTGTAATGGTTAGCTAAAGGCATGAAGCTTTTAGTTTGTATGTTGTATTTCAATGTATTTGAATTATAAGGCTGAATTTGTACTCCAAGGCATGCTCAGTTTAGAGTAGCTAGTTTGTTGACATGATTGAACAAAAACAGATTCATGAAGGAAGTTTTCAGCTGTTGTATATGTATGACTTGACATTTTCAATGTTGTCTTAATCAACTTCGCAAAGATCAGTAAGGAGCTAGTCTCACAGCTGAAAGTGAATACATTACAAAGGATTTGATGTCCCACAATTTTTTTTTTATATTCTCTCTCTCTCTCTCTCTCTCTCTCTCTCTCTCTCTCTCTCTCTCTCTCTCTCTCTCTCTCTCTCTCTCTCTCTCTCTCTCTCTCTCTCTCTCTCTCTCTCTTCTCTCTCTCTCCCCTCTCTCCCTCTCCCCCTCTCCCTCTCCCTCCTCCCTCTCCCTCTCCCTCTCCCCTCCCTCTCCCTCTCCCCTCCTCTTCTCTCTCTCTCTCTCTCTCTCTCTCTCTCTCTCTCTCTCTCTCTCTCTCTCTCTCTCTCTCTCTTTCATATTGTTGTTGTTCTGTTCTGTTCTGTTTACTTGAATTTAGATATGAACTTTAAGTTTTTTCAGTATGTGTCTGTTTTGCCATTTTTTACCATTAACCTGGTCTGGAATACCATGATAGATAAAATCTGATATATTAAAATGGCTTGGCTATTCTAAGTGAACTGAGCATATAATACCGGATTTCTTTTTATGCCTCTTTTGCTGAAGGTTACTTAAATTTGCGTTAGTTTATTTACATTTACTTCTGACAGTCAGTACAGTACTTGTGTCCAAATATAAATGATCTGCCATACTTGGTTATTTAAATTCCATTGCTTTCTTCATTCTGTTGATATGATGCTTATCTAACTTCATCCTTTGCATACAGTAGTCACATCGGTCATTATATAACATTCATTATTCACTTTTGTTGATTTGTGCCTGTGATGAAACTTAGCCAAATCTGAGGTATTCGGCCAAAGTTTCGAGGGAGAATACTTCCAAAACTTTGTGCCTTGAGTATCTGGGAATTAACCGAGAAGCATTTCTGAGGCATCAACCTTCATTACACAAGCATGCTCTCCATCTCATCTCATTTATGACACACACTCTCTTTCTCTCTCTTTCTCTCTTTCTCTCTCTTTCTTTCTTTCTTTCACTTTCTCTTTCTCTTTCTCTTTCTCTTTCTTTCTTTCTTTCTCTTTATTTCTTTATTTCTTTCTTTCACTTTCTCTTTCACTTTCTCTTTCACTCTTCTTTCTTTTCTTTCTTTCTTTCTTCTCTCTTTCTCTCTTTCTCTCTTTCTCTCTTTTCTCTCTTTCTCTCTTCTCTCTTTCTCTCTTTCTTCTCTTTCTCTCTTTCTCTCTCTCTCTCTCTCTCTCTCTCTCTCTCTCTCTCTCTCTCTCTCTCTCTCTCTCTCTCTCTCTCTCTCTCTCTCTCTCTCTCTCTCTCTCTCTCTCTCTTCTCTCTTTCTCTCTTTCTCTCTTTCTCTTCTCTCTTTCTCTCTCTCTTTCTCTCTTTCTCTTTCTCTCTTTCTCTCTTTCTCTCTTTCTCTCTTTCTCTCTCTCTCTCTCTTCTCTCTCTCTCTCTCTCTCTCTCTCTCTCTCTCTCTCTCTCTCTCTCTCTCTCTCTCTCTCTCTCTCTCTCTCTCTCTCTCTCTCTCTCTCTCTCTCTCTCTCTCTCTCTCTCTCTCTCTCTCTCTCTCTCTCTCTCATTCATATCTCCATACAAGAAAGCTATTCTTATCATGGCTGCTTAGGTTCATCCTGTTAAACTTTGCAAAGATTTCATTTTCATAAGTCACTTCCTGTAAGAAAATTGAAAATTTTGTAAGAAAAGTGGAAATTTACAGCTTTTTAAATTGTGCTAATTGAAAGATGGAAAGAGTTTCATTTGCATTTGCAAACAGGTAAAATGTTCACAATTTGTTTATCCATACACTTACATAGAAAAATGGTATGTAAGTACTTATGAATACTATTTATGTGCTTGCATTAGTTCATACTCCACATCAGTTATGAGATTCAATATATTTAGTATGTATAGTAGAACCAGTATGTCACATTTGTCCACCAGAATTTTATCTTCTGTTTAAGATTAAAAGGTTCTTCATGTTACAAGGGATCCCCATTATTTGTTGTTAAAATGGACCAGAAAAGTATTATGAATAGCAATACAAACATCTCGTAAGAAAACAATATAAAAGGGTGTAATATTGACCGGAACAAGAATATCTAGTGATATGGTGAAGTATATAGTCTTTGTGCATATTCTAAAAATGATGCTAAATGAGAGAGCACTGATGTGGCCTGAAACTGGACGTTCTGCTCACATGTACTGTAGTTTATGTTAGCAGTGTGCACAAACTGTCTGTCATTGCTACTTTAGTATTCTGGTGTCTTTTATTTTTTGTTTCTTATAGGTTTGTGGACACGTGTGTAAAAACTTTAGGAACTGTACGTCAAAAATGTTATGATCATTGTGAAATTGTTATTATCTATATTATTATGAAATCTTCATTAATGATGCATCCACAAAACATCAGTGACAAAAGGGTGAGATGGCAAATAATGGGGATTTCCTGTCTTGAAAACCCAAAGAAAATAATTGGATCCTTTTACTTAATTTATTATGTTATCTCAACATTTCCTTAGAAATGAGAGATTGCAGAATGCTGTAATAATTGGTCAACCTACTTAAGGAAAATGGCATGGAAATTATTGACATGCAGTATAAACAATGTAGTCACAGTATTTCAGGCACCAGTCCTAAGAAATTAGACTTGTGACTAGATACAGTTTACTGTGAGGATATGCATGCTTGAAATTGTTGCTCGAGTATATTTGTGTTTTTTCTTGTATTTTCTGTATTTCCTTTGGAAATGAGCATGATTAAAGCTTTCTTGATATTAGGATTATACCATTTGGCCTTTTTATGTTTTATACTGCTTGTAATAATAATTTTAATACATTGAGAAATGGTTATTTTGTTTCTGTACACAAACAGATGTTTGCACCCATACAAACATGATAATACTCTCTGACACACGCACACACACACACACACACACACACACACACACACACACACACACACACACACACACACACACACACACACACACACACACACACACACACACACACACACACACACACACACACACACACACACACACACACACACACACACACACACACACACACACACACACACACACACACTCTCTCTCTCTCTCTCTCTCTCTCTCTCTCTCTCTCTCTCTCTCTCTCTCTCTCTCTCTCTCTCTCTCTCTCTCTCTCTCTCTCTCTCTCTCTCTCTCTCTCTTTCTCACTTATTTATTCACTCACCTATACAAATGGCCATTCATTTTGTAAATTTATGTTATAATTTTCAGATTTGCTCTCCCCCAATAAGTGTCCTTTCATAAAATAAAGAAGCAATTAATGGCTTTTGCACTAATTAAATTTACTAACACAAAAGAAAAATACTGGTGTGACAGTAGCTTCACCAAGCCAAAATGCAGTAGTTGAAAGGCAGATTGGAGAGAGCAATGGATCTGCAGTTTGACCTCGAGTTTCTGAATAATACCCGTAGAGGAAGTCAAATTCATCAGCTTTGATGGTTGATGTTTAGGCTTTAAAAACTAAAAAGACAGTGAAGCCAGATACGAGGGTCTCCTTGTCCATAGTCAGCTCTTGTGGCTGTGTAATGGTTTTTACACTGAAGTGTTTTTGCAGGCTTTACTAAATCCGAAATCCCAGTTTAATTTGTAAAATAAAAGTTTTTGGTTGATTACTAACAACTATGAACTTTTTCATAACCTATATGAGTATTAAATGCCAAGATTGTTATTCACAATAAATAGTAGACACACAAGCAGAATATATAATGCTTTCTGAGTAGAATTCAGAATATTACAGAAAGCCAAAAATTGTACATCGATTTTAGTTTGGTCTTCTAGAATTTGTTGAAGGCACAAGTTTTGTACAAGTTTTCCAGTAACCAAATATTGGCTCAACAGGAAGTGGCCAGGATGACCCAGCCGTCATCCGCGATATGCTGCTGGCCAACCCTGAGCAGCTGGCCCTCCTGCGCCATAATAATCCCAGGCTTGCAGAAGCTCTCACAAGTGGAGACTTAGGTAGGTAAACTAAATATGTTTCCTGCTTTAGTTTTGCTGATGATTTCCAGCTGCTGCTTGGAAAGGAAGCTTCATACTGTACATGTTGCATAATGATTGGAAAGATGTGATATAGAATTCTTGATGTTGTTTTTGGTTTTGCGGGAGTGGAATAGCATTGAGCTTATTTTATGTAATTGTTTGGCAGACAAGTTTGCTTCTGTGCTCCGTGAACAACAAGAGATGCGAAGAGATCGTGAAAGACAGAGAATTCGATTGCTTACTGCAGATCCATTTGATATGGAAGCTCAGAGGCTCATTGCAAATGAAATTCAGCAAGAGGTGCGTGAGAGTGTGACCACCTGAAGGGAACTACTTTTTTGTGTGTGTGAGAATGTGAGTGTTTGTGTGCGAGTGTGTGAGAGTATTTGTGTAAGTGTGAGAGTGTGTGAGTATAAGTGTGTATGTGAGTGAGTGAGTGTGTGTGTGTGAAAGAGGGAGAGAGAGAAAGAGTATATATGTATGCCTGAAAGTGTGTATGTACATATACATTTGTGCATATCTATGTATGTATATACATATATTTGTGCATATGTATGTATGTACATAGATATGTAAGGTAATTTTGTTTTGGACTTCTTGGTTGATTGGAGTGTTTGATTATTACTCAGTGATTTGAAACCTGAACTACATTAATGTTCCGCCTCCAACTCAGAACATCAATGCCAACATGGAAGCAGCAATGGAGTATAACCCAGAGAGCTTTGGCACCGTTCATATGCTCTACATCAACTGCAAGGTTAATGGGCATGATGTGAAGGCTTTCATTGACTCAGGTTAGTTCTCCCTTCCTTGTGGTTCAGGATACACACACATGCACACACACACACGCAATCACATGCTTAGTTACATACATGTTAGATACGCTCCCATTTCTTTAGGGCATATTCAGGGTAAAAAAAGCAGCATTACCTTTATATACAAGACCTGATGGGAGTTTTGTTGGTGGATGCGTTTAATATGCTGTCATATATAGTATGAATTGTATTTTATTGGCACTTAAAGTATGTGATAGTATCGTGTCTTATTATAAGTTTGATTCCTTGCATTAGGAATTTGATATTAAAGTGCTATTCCGCATATGTTACTGTTATGTTACTGCAACAGCATAAGAATGTACTTTAACCCTTAAGAACCACAAACCCTCCAGCTTGTCTGTTCTGATTTTTGTTTTTATCTCTTTCTTTTCTTTTCCTTAAGGCAAATTTTGGTTGCAGTCATTTCAAGAGTTCAACTTATGCACCACAAAATGTATATTTCATTCTCATCTCAGATACTAAGATTGTCAGTAGAGCACAAAATTTGGAAAAGTTATAGTCACCTCTCATGTGTGAAAGAAAATGAAGATCTATGTAATCCTAATAACCCTATTTTTATCATATAAAACAATAAGATGTGCAATTTGATAGGAGAGGAAATAAGAAGAGACTCAACTGGATGAAGTAGCCCATATTATGCCGGAATTGCTAATTCTCACGTGACGTTCCATTCACCAGAGGCATAAATGTGTATGCTAAACAGTGCCAGAGATTTTTATGGACACTACATATGTTTCATTCATAACAAAATTTTATGGGGTGGGGAGTACCCAGTTTCTCATGGGCTTTCCATGGACTGACATTCTATTTGATATCGTGTGTTGCACACTAATATATTCCCCATTTCTGCTAAGTGTATTAACTTAATGGCTTCCTTCCAGGTGCACAAACCACTATCATGTCTCAGGCATGTGCAGAGAGATGCAACATAATGAGGTTGGTGGACACCAGATGGGCTGGCATAGCAAAAGGTGTTGGAACTCAGAAGATTATTGGCCGTGTCCACATGGGCCAGATACAGATAGAAAATGACTTCCTTGCATCCTCATTTAGTATACTGGAAGAACAGCCAATGGACATGCTTTTAGGGCTGGATATGTTAAAAAGACATCAGGTTTGTAAGATAGAACTTGTCAGGTTATTATTTATAAGTATATTAGGATTCAATTGTGTGTGTGTGTGTGTGTACATGCCTGTATGTGTTTTTAGTCCTTAGTATTTTTCTAAACTAAATGCTAGAATATTTGCATCTGCATATAAATACGGATTGAAAGGTTGACAGCAAGATGCTCAATTATAGTACAAGTGAGAAACACCATAACTGTACTAATGGTACTCATGAATGTGTATGCACATCTTTAAATGCACAGATTTATGCATTGACTGGTAGTGGAATATGTACATTATGTATATAATTCTAAATATTCTGCGAAAAATTTAGAATGCCCTTGAGATTTTAACCCTAACATTTGCTTTTTTTACTCTCTCACAAAAAAAGATGTGCATTGACTTGAAAAACAATAAACTGCACATTGGGACTACGGGCACAGCTACAACCTTCCTAAGTGAAAGTGAACTACCAGACTGTGCCCGTCTGACTTCTCTTTCGGAGGAGGAGGCTCGTCGCCAATCAGAAAAGGCAGCCAAAGAGTCAGAGGACCGTGCATTGGCCGAAGCTCTGGCCGCTAGTTCCAAGGAAGGTAACTCAGGTGGCGCAAGTGGTTCTTCTGCATCTGGGGCTACACAACATGGTGATTATGGGTTACAAAATACCAAAAGCATGGAAGCTATGAAAAAAATTGCTCTTTATCTGCTTTACTTAGAGAATGTTGAAGAAATCAGGTTTAAGGCCCAGACACTTCTGTGGCAGTAGTTTGTATTTTTTTATTCTGATGAGGTTTTTGTTTAACATTCTAGCAGCAGAGCAACAGCAGTCTTCCAGCCCCCCCAGTGATGCAGCAGCCCCTGCCACAGCCCCTGCTGCAGCCCCTGCCGCAGTTCCAGAAGCTACAGCTCAACAAGACAACTTCTCCGAGTCAGATATTCAAGAAATTATGCAAATTGGGTTCACTAGAGTTCAGGCAGTTGAAGAACTTAGACGACAAAATGGGAATAAGACCCAAGCAATAGCTGCACTTTTTGCAAAGTCATTCAAAATGTAGTTCCTTATTTTTTTTAGATATGAGTTACATGTTTAGCAATACTATTTCAAAAGTTATGGTTCTTATTTTGCAATATATTATAGATGGTCAATATTTCTGGTAAGGGTTTAGAGTTTCTTGGATATTGTGAAGTGAATATAGACATGGCTCGTATTGAGCCTTTTATCAAATGTGTAATATGTTTGAAGACTGAGGTTGACTTCGTGTATAGGGAGGTTAATGCTAGACAAGGAAACCGTCATTAATGGTTTGCTTTTATACCTTAAGATTGGTCAGGTCGAAGGGGCCTTTCTGAGTGAGCTTGGACTGCATTATCTCACCTTTCTGTCGTTCGATTATTGTGGATATCAGTCGGCCGGGATAGAATTATGTACCTAACTTATTTCTTTATACTGTTTTAGTCATTTGCATACTTTGTTACCATGGCTGGTTTTTACAGTGTATCAAAATGCTGAATGAAAAATTGCATTTATGTGCATTCTGTAGTTAGTCTTTGTTTCTGGTTTTAGAGACCTAATGGATGTTCCGCAGAGATAAGGTGTGTCCTTTGTTTGGCTTCGTTGAAGTAATTGTTCTAAATGCCTGATTATGAGAACAACATATCAGAGGTTGCATTTAAAGTAGGGTTTCTTTAGAACAAGGAGATTTGTGGTTTTCTCTTTTTTCCCCGAAATTTGATCAGATACATTTGTGTTGAACGGAGAGATACAGATGTGACTCAGCTTGGCTTTAATCAGGAAAAGTTGTCAGATGAAGTACAAGAGACATAGAAATTCCAGTGCTATGTTTGTTACAGGTGACTCAGTCGTGAGGTGCAAGACTTTTAAGAATCATACATGCTCTAATTTTGTAGTTGAACACATCTCGTTACAATTCAATTTTATATTGTAGAGAATAGCAGGTAAATAGTCCCATTGTTAAATAAATCATTTTTTCATTATCATTCATGTGATGTAGATTATGACAGTACTTTATATTTTACAGTAGGTATTATGCAAATGAAACAAGTATTTTATACTATACATGAAAAAGGAAATAAAAGTTTTATATTTAGTGATGCATCATTGATGTCTTTATTTTAGCTTGTAATTAGTTCACATATGAGACAGACAGACACACACACACACACACACACACACACACACACCACACACACACACACACACACACACACACACACACACACACACACACACACACACACACACACACACACACACACACACACACACACACACTCACACTCACTCTCTCTCTCTCTCTCTCTCTCTCTCTCTCTCTCTCTCTCTCTCTCTCTCTCTCTCTCTCTCTCTCTCTCTCTCTCTCTCTCTCTCTCTCTCTCTCTCTCTCTCTCTCTCTTCTCTCTTCCCTTCCTTCCCCATCTTTCTCCGCTCCCTCAGCCTTGCCCTCCTTGCCCTTGCCCTCCTTATCACCTCCCTCCCTCCCCATCCTTCTCGCCCTCCTTCTCCCCTCTATCTCTCCTCTCCCATTCTCACATTTTACAAGGCACTGAAACTGTAACAAGCAGCTTTTGAACATAGTCATTACTGAATGTCAGTAAAATACTTAACAAAAAAAAAAAAGAGATTAAAAGCTAAGTCATCAAAGGATTATCAGTTTGTATTGCAATTAGTGTTGTGTATCAGAGAAAGTTTGGAATGTATCAGTTATTAAGAATTAGGAAAATATCAGCCAACTTCTGGAAGTGGATTTTAAGTACTGGAGACATCTTACTTTATATCTGCCCAGAAACTACACCCTTCTTTCCTGGCTAAGAAGTTGATTGGTCCGTATAAAACGGGTGCACCAATTATGGCAGCCTAGAAGGCCAGCTTTATGTCCTTCCTAGTAAGAAATGAAGTACCCTAAGTTGGTTAAGGAAAAATCATAATAATTAGTTCTGGTAGCCTGACCACACCATCTCCATTGGAGCTTGGAGTAAGGATGTATGCACTCGCCCTCAAGTCCCCTTCTGAATTCCGCTAAAGATTCAGAGATCATGCAGAGAAATGTTAAATATGGATTACAGGCAAAATCAACGACTGTCATATATGAATGGAACTTATTTGATACATATTATAGTGTGCAACAGGCAGTAAACTACTTGTATAAGCCTGATATTCCCATATCAATGTGCAATAATAAGGTGTTTTTATGACAACTGGATGGCTAAATTAGGTTTATTAAAATTGCCATCTACTGTTCCTCTAAGCATATTAACTGCCCTCTGCATATAGTCTATTTATTGACAGTATACAGGAAGCAGGTATATGATAAAATGGGACATTTTTTTAGCTTATACAACCTCTAGAAATCATTGGAAAATGCCTAATGCTTGGAAACATTCATTCCTTATTTTTAAATTAAATAATTACAGGTCTGATTATAAGCGAGGAACATTTATTGTAAATGACGGACAGAGGCGCAAAGATTGTATATCAACTAATCAACTTATTTATGATTGAGAGGTATGGCTTCTGGGCAAATATGAAATAAAGTGAGTAAAACCATTTTGTGATCAAAATATCTAAAAATGTCATTCCTGTGATTATCAGATGTTTAACTAAGGACATTAGAGTAATGTACAGACCTAAGAGATCTCTTCTTAAGTATCTAAATAACACTTGAACTATTTAATACTGAAACACAAGTACAATTGGCATTATTTATGCCAAACATGGATCTCAAATAGTTGCTGAAAATAAGCATAAAATGGCTCATGCCACTAGGTATAATTTTAACACCTGTTCTTGCAAACCAGAGATTCATATTGGTATACTGACACCAGGCATCTCTGCATAATATATTTTCCTTATGCATCAGCCTTTTTTCTTTCTTTATTAGATTTTTTATTATTATTATTATTATTATTTTTTTTTTTATGAATGAAACATTTCTCTATCTACAAGAGAAGTATCTGTTGATTTCTACTTTTTTTTTTTTTTTCTTCCCACCTTTTCCAGACAAACTACCAAATAGCATGTCAGTTTGGCTTTTATGGT